GTGTTCATCCAGCTCTACACCTTGTTATCTCAGATTCTCCAGCATCTGCAGTTCCTACTATCTCTAAGATGGAGTGCAGTTGGGGAGGAAGTAAGAAATATTTGCTTTGTTGACTTGGGTCACAAAGCACTCTGGTCATGCCAACTACTTGCACTGGAAAACTATTACTCCACTGAAAAAAGAAAAGCAGAAAGCATTATAATACTACTCCTACGAAGAGGGAACTGGAAATTAGATGAACTAACACAAATCTGGGTTATGATCATTTTATTAATTTTATGTTTTATTTCTTCACAAGTGGAAAACCTTGACCATTGCAACTTAATAAAAGTTCAATCACTGTCAGATATAAGTGCGACGTACCTTAGCAAAAATGAGAGTCTGAAGATTTGCAACCTTAAAGCAGAATTTCTCTACTGTTTCTGACCCCCAGTTTTATTTAAGATAGTATTTGCATATTTGTGGGTGATTGGTCATTGAAAATATGTAGCTGTAGCATCCCAGATAGCTTGGCGGTTTATCTGTTGAAAGGCTGAGGCAAAGAGATCAGACATTATCAAAGGTTGGATCCTTGCTTTGTGCTGAGCCACAGTAGGACCATAGGGCTACAACTGGCTTCAGTCTCCCACAGTTCAGGAGGGCAAAATCAGTTAGTGTCCCTATAAATTGATTCCCTGCTGGAGAAGTATGTTTGAATGGTAAATCAATAGTTGTAGTTCCTTTGGTTATCTGATAGCATCTTTAAAGATCATAAATGAAACATGGGCATTGAGGTGTGGTACTCAGTGTCCATTGGATGAAAGCAGTACCTTTAGAAAGTAGACTGGTTGGGGGGTGGGGGGGAGAAACAATGCAACATTGGTATTTTAATTTTCTTTTCCATTTCTTAATATGGTCTCCAAAAAGCTTCATTCAAATTTTAAAAGTAAAATTACTATCTCACATGGGTGGTGTGCTTTGGTCCGGAAGCATAAGTAGCGATTGAAAGCCAATTGCCTGGGCCAGGAAAGCTGACAGTTAATTTCAAGTACTGTATTATGAATTAGTAAGCTCCTTTCCCCAACCCCTACAAAATCCTTTTAGTCATTGAGGTAATTCCAGGTAACAAAATTAAAATTTTAAACAGAATTAAATAACAGAACGTCTTCCTTAAAAGGACAAAAGTAAGTTCAAATGTTTGCCACTGTAGTGTCATATGAGGAGGACTAGACAATATGTGTGGGCTGGATAGATACTTAGCAGAATGCTGCCACGCATGCACAGTGGGAAATATCCAGACCATTTGTCCATCAAAGCTGGGTTAAAATTCTCACTTTCTTTTTTCCAGATTTACATAATGGCCCTAATTTGGGCCAGTTGGGTATTTAAATTTGGTTCGTTGATCATCCCTCTTCCCTACAATGAGAAATTAAATGGTGGTATGTTCAATGCAGGGTTTTACTTGGCAGTGCATGCTTGGTATGGGTTGGTGCTTTGGTCGTAGTTACTAACTTGAAAATGCTTGTGTTTGTGTGCTGTGAAAAGTGAAATATAGAATTCTATTCTTAACTGCTGATATTTTGTCACTGAAAAGATGTATGTTTGCAGGGGAGGGCTTTGCAGAATTCAAGTCACCAGGAAATGATGACGGATTCACAGACTTCAAAACTGCAGACAGCATTTCACCAGTAGATTCATCAGAGCAAGCAAAGGCATTCTCAACAACGTTTCCTTCTGTGCCATATCTTCAACCGCAACTGCAACCAGTAACACAGCCTAAAGACACTTTCAATCTCACGGACCTTTTTACCTCTGTCAGTAGCAGTGGAGAGAGCAGTTCTGTGTCATTTCCACCAGTTTTTGTGACATCATCCATTTCCTCATCTGTATGTGTTACATCTTCATTGTCATCACTATCATCTGGTACTTTTTCCACAGCCGGTAGCAAAACTGCTGGTGGAACTGATGACTTTGGCGACTTCAGTCTTTTTGGTGTAGCAGCCAGCACTTCTTCAGGTGGGGGATGGGGTCAGGATGAATTTGCTGATTTTATAGCTTTTGGCAGCTCCAACACCACTGGATCCTCTGAACAAAAGTCAAATGATAAATATAGTGTTTTCAGGCAGGAGAAGGATGATGGCTTCACAGCATCTTTTGATGCCTCACTTGGCACAGCAGAAGGTGGACAACAACCTTCAACCACTGCTGTAGACAAATATGATGTCTTTAAGCAGATTCCTGAAGAAGGGTCTGTAATGGGCTTTGAGGAACAAAAAGACAATTCCTCCCTTTCCCAAGAAAAGAATGAGGATGACTTCCCAGTTACCAAGCTGTCCCTTGCATTCGGCACCGCGGACAAGGCTTTCGTAGATAAACTTTCTGCTTTTAAACAGGCAAAAGAAGACTCTGCCTCAGTGAAATCTTTGGACCTTCCTTCAATTGGTGGGAGTAGTATTGGTAAAGAGGACTCCGAAGATGCCTTATCCGGTCAGTTTGACATGAAGTCAGCTGAGGTTGGTGGTGATTTGAAGCATGTGTTGTCTGACAGCTCGCTGGATTTACCACCTGTCATTGGTCAGCCGCCTCCAGTTACAGGTGAGGAAATGGTTCGATTGATCTGGTAGTTACAGCCAAATCATCTGCATACTGCAGTTTCCTTTCTATAATGCCGCACCAATGATTTATATGTCGTGTCCATTCTGTATGATCATGGCTGTTGGGATTTGATCTGTTCTTTAGTGAGTATAATTACGCTCAGTTATTAATCTTAGTGGAGCAATCCAATAAATGACCTTGGTTTCGAGGTATCACTGGGCAACTTCAATTGTTAGGGTACCCAGGTCCGCAACATTTTCATCAGTTAATTGAACCAGCAGAGTTATTGTTAATATTTTTTCCACTTGGAATGCAATGATTGTTTCACTTTAGTACTTTGAATCATTGGAATGATCTAAATGATTTTCACTTTTTTCTGAGCAGATACCTAATGTTCATCTCAACCATTACAGTATAACGAACAGTCCCACAGAGAGTGACAGTCATAGTCAACCTGGATGGTACAGGATTAGTAGAATTATTTTATCTGCACCCTTTCAGCCATGATTACAAATTGCTGTTTCCATTTTAATATTTTGAGAACAACCATATCCCACAGATGCTGCCAGACTTGCTGGGTTTTTCCAGCATATTCTCTTTTTTATTTTGGATATACAGCATCCACAGTATTTTGTATTCAGTCATGTCTGCTTATATATGGTGCCTTAACATGGTGCCTAGTTTTAACTGTAATATTCCTACAAATTTGCAAACAATTCTTTAATTCTTGTGAAACGGCACTTTCATTGAAGGGCAGTATTGCTATTTATATTTCTAGAAAGCTGCTTAAAACTACTTTCAAAATGTAGTCTGGATTAAAGAGCTTTGGGCTTGATTCTGGATGTAAACGGAAACTTGAATTTTCCCTGTGTTAAAATAATTGAGTGCAGCCTGTTCGATTAATGGTAAAACAGATTGGGGTCGAGTGGTAACATATAAGTAACCTACTGGACAAAAATGTATACAAACACAATTTATGACAAGGCTGAGTGGGGGGTTAGGAAGGATTTCCAGGTCTGTTGACTGGTTTAGCAAACATCAGTTTTGAAAACAGCCCAAGAGGGTGCCCACAAAGTTTCTGTACTTCCACTTAAACATATCTGCTCTTATTAAGTTACAATAATATGGCATAAATAATGTGCCAGAAATTAAATATTCAGGTTGTTATTTAAAACAGAATCTGTATACTGTGCCATCTATAGTGACAAATCCGACTGAAAGTGAATGACAGTAGAGTCGATCCTTATAAATGATCAGGAAATAGTTATGTAGATTATTTAAAAAGTAGGACAGACGATCCAAAATTTGACTAGTATGAGACTAATGATTTACAAATCAAATGCTCACAGTGCAGAGACTCTGATCTGCTGATGTATTATGGCAGTATGGAAGTAATGCTTGCACCTAATTCCACTAGCAAGTAATATTTTCTTTGTTTATGAAGCGAAGACTTTTGGCTTTGCAATATGTTAGGGAAATACTGAATTGGTACGTATAGTTGAGTTTTTTCAATCCGTCTACTTGACCAGAGCACATCAACAGTTAAAACTGAGAAGTGTGCGATTACGTGCACCTGCAGAGTTAGACTTAACATCTGAAACAGTCCTAATGAGCTTAGAACATTCATAGAGTAGAAATGGTTGGCAACACTGTTCATTTGAGAATAATTTATTTGTATTTAAACTGTCAGACTAGGCCATCTCCTTGTGTTGTGTAGATGTCCTTAACTAGCATCTGTCAAACAACACAACCTTGGACCATCGTTCTTTCTAAGCTACGCAACTGCACAGTCACAGGGAAATGAACACTAATTGGCATCCAATGTATGGCTTCAGCTTCTGGAAGCCACTGCCACACCTTGAAGTCTGCACAGTGGCAGGAAAAATTAGAGGGAGCGTTGTTTTGACTTTGTTTTCATCTGTAGAATATGGTAAGTATTCCCCTGACTATGTGGTCCTCTCACTTCCAGGTTCCTTTTCACTTCCAATCATCACTTCCACCCCCTCACTCAGTTTTTCTGCATTATTGTGCTGTTGTCAGTTTTTTGTCTATCCTGCAAATTTTGCCTTCATTTACACAGGCAGCAATAATTGTCTTCTTCATTAAATTGAATTGGGGGGAGGAGCATCCTCCATTGATGCTTTGCAATATCTGCTCCTTGGATTCCAGCACAACAACGCAGAGCTGAAGTTCCTTGCGATGTAGACACTTACTGCAGATGGAGCATCCAAGCTGTCAATGTTGTGTACAAACTCCCTACTACTATTGTTGCAACAGACTACTTGCGCTGTCATCTAGTTTGTTATACATGGGTTAAATGAAATATTTACCTGCAAAATGCCTCACCACAAGTGTTGGAGGCAAAAGCAATACTTATCCACCCATCGCATCCAATTTCCAATCTCTCCAAATTCTTGAACTTTACTCTCTGTTTATGATGCACTTTAATTGATGACCACTCTGACTGTAACAGCCAAGGTATTTAACTTTGCTGCATCATTTGTACTAAATTGAGTAATCTTGCCATTATCATGGATTATACACCATTGTGCAGTCAATGAATAGGTTGAAAGAAACTGATGTTAGAAGATAGATGGGGAGTAAATATATAATAACAATAGTTCATGGACCTTGCTGTGCATAAATTTGCTACAAAACAATGATTCACAGGCTTTGGCATACCCGGCTGGTGTGAAAGGTGCTGTTCAAATGGATGCTTTTTTTAAAAAAAATTGCTTTATTAAACTCACTGCATCCTTTTATTGAAGGAAAAAATGGCCAGAGCTCCATCTGAGCTTTTGGTAGACTGGTGCCAGTAGATGTGCAAGACCAACCATGGGTGACAGTTTATTTTTATTGCTTTGAAAATGTTGCTGTCTTGCTAATGAATAGTTTCAGAAAACATTTGAAAAACCAAGCAAGTGTATTCTTTATTCCAGTATTTAAAAACATATCAAAGGCCAGCCACAGTGGAATGATTTATCTTCTATACCTTGGCAACTCCAAAAGTACCTCGGTCAGATCATTCATTTTTTTTGCGTTCATAGCTAATGCACTACATTTACATGAATGGTGTTGTGCACATTACAAATTACACCTCAACCTAATAACTTTTTGCAATAATTATCATTTACTTTCCTAATATTTATCAGCTATTAGATTTGACAAAACCCAACTAGCTTTTGTGCCATAGAAAAATGTTTTCATTTGAAATATATGAACATGGTCATCACAATGTTGCTTTAATAATATCTGATTTTGTTTCATAAACTTTAACTGCACACCAGCTTCAAAATATTTTTTGTTCAGAAGCTGTAAGCAAATGTGTGATTAATGATCAAATAAATTTGGAGCCAATGGGCTGTAGTCAAAGCTGCTATAAAAATAGGGATCCCTGTCACTTTTCAATGACTGAAATTAGTTTTATGTGTAGAAATTAAAACGGGATGCTTTTCTTATGAGATTTAAACAGATAACAAATAGATTCTTCAAGTTGGAGTTGAAATGGAGCCAATATAAAGATTAGAGTTTAGGAGTTAGATTTTCAAGCCGTTAAACACAAAGGAGTAAAATCTCTAATCTGCAATGTAATGGTCACATGGAGTTTAGATTCATGGCCTTTTGTTGGATGTAGTTGACTTGTGTGTGGGAGGTTCTCATGCTTTGTAACAACTCCAGCGCTGCAATGTTTTTTGCAGTTTAGTAATAGTTCTGATTTTATGTTGGAGAAAGAGTGTAAAGGATTATTTAAAAACATCTAAATTTCATGCATTTTATATTTTTCATAATATTTATTCTAGCTGGTGCTATAATTTGCTCATTTGTTTATAATTGTTATACTGTATAAATTACAGTGGATTTTAAGCTTTCACTCATTGTGGCACTTTTTCCCCACCCTATATGCTCCTCTGTCTTTCGTCATCTCTCCCATCGTCTCTTTTCTCCCCCTATCTTTCTCCCTCTCACCCTGCCCCCCCCTCACCTTTCCAGCCCTACTCCTTGCTTGCATGTGCGTGCTGTCTCTCTCTCTCTCTCTCCATACTTGCCTCATTGAATATTATGTTTAGATCCATGAAACAGAATGAGTGCAGTTATTCCAATCAACAGCTATCAACAACTCACAACTGTGCAGCTTTTTAATTGTTTTAAGATAGCTGATTTCCAGATCAAAGCTCTCAGTAAGGATCATCGCTGCAGCAGACGGTGTTTAGGAAATGCCAGCTTTTAAATTTCTAAAGATTGTAGGAGTAGAATGTGAGTTCCCATAGATTTCTCTCCTTTATTATTTACTGTGTTTCCCCTTATCATTCAACAGCATTACCATTGCTAAATTCCCACCATCAATATTAGATGGTTATCGTTGAGCGAAAACGTAACTGGATCACTCATATAAACACTGACTATAAGAGCAGGACAGAGATTGAAAAATCTGCATATATTTTAACTGCACACCACCTCCAAACTAATTTGTTGTTTAGAAGTAAATACGCAATTTCATGATGAAATGAGTCTACAGCCAATGTAGCCTGAGGTAGTATTAAAATTCAGAGCCTTATTACTTTTCAATGAGTAGAACTAGTTTCATGCATTAAAATTAAAAACTAGGCACAAGGTCTTCTCACAAGGCACATGCCAGGAGTGTGATGAAATACTCCCCAATTACCGAGATGAATGTAGCTCCAACAGTGGGCAAGAAGCTTACTCCTCAGAGAAAGCAGTCTACTTGTTTAACATCCCATTAACCACCCTAAACTTGCATTCTCACCAGCATCTGCACACACCCACACTTCAGTGCATACCAATTACATGATGCACTGCAACAACACCTCAAAGTAGACAGGCGTGGCAGGTGAATCCATCCCCAACTTCTTCAAATTGACTGAGTAAAGTTGTCTTTGTGAATAGAGTGAAAAGAAAGGGTAGGAAGTTGCTGGTTGACTCCCATGCTTGTTGCTGATAGGCTCACTATGAACTTATCAGCAGCACACGGAAGAGAAACA